CAAAACTCTATCTTGTTTCAGCTGCCTGATGTCTGTGTATATGGATATACTACATTTACTTTAACAGAAAAAAACAAGACTATAAAAAACAGAATCTCAGAAACTAAGCTGTTACTGCACTTCACCAAATAAATGGAATTTGGCTGAATGAAGTCAACATCAAGGATACAAAAGCCTGCAGTCTGTAGTGACTGTGATGTTCAAAGCCATCCAAAAAAGCTTCAGGGGACCAAGCTAATTCAGAAAAGGTACACAAATGAGCGTTCTGATCGTATCACAAGGCCAGTCCAGGAATGGCAGGCCACCAGCTGAGCTGAAGCTGTGTCCTTTCTGCTTTCAAAGCGAAATGCTCCCCAACACGGACTCAACCCAACAGCTGATGCAATGAATTAAACACACCATATTATGAGGCAGAAACTGCCCCACCTCTGTGATTATTTAGTATTAGCAATGCTTGTCCTGCGCCCTGTGTTGGCATGGTTATTATTTAACTTCATATCGGCAATGTAGGCCGTTGTTAGAAATAGGAAATAAAAGAAATTCTAGGAAACAAATGCCTCTTTATCAAGTTAAAATAGTTTTAGTGGGGGCACAACAGCATTGTAACACCGGGAATTTGAATCTCTGTCTCTGCTGTACTTTTGCCACCTCCTGCCTCATTCACAAAATTGAATAACATGCTGAGATCACAATGGATATAGATGGTGATTTCTTTTCCAAGAAAAACAGTTCTTTTCACTGCAGATAACCTGGTTTTAGTGCAGTTTTAATACAATTATTAAGCACAACTGAAATATAAAAAATACTGCCATGATTTAATTCTATTTTAATCCTTACTACATAAAGAGTGAATATTTTTTTTGCACCCCAAATGTAAGAGTGGGGAGCTGAACCAGTGTGAGAACTGCAAGGAGGTTAATTCTACCCTTAAAGGAAAAAGAAAAAAAAATAAGTAGAAGAAAGTGTAGATCTTTGCCTCTTTTTACATTTCAGTGTGGTGTTGAGCTCTGCTTGGTTCTATTCCACATGTAGGCAATAGAAAGATTTGAGTTCAAGGTGGCATTCTTGAAAGAAAAAAGTAAGATCACAATATTTTCTATTCTTAATTTTGAAATAAAAGTAACCTGAAACAGCACATTCAAATAGCTGCAAGTCCAAAAATAAACCTTTAGAAATTGAGGCTCCAGTTAATCACTGAGTAATGAGGCAACAGCCATCGCTTTCAGCTTTCATACAAACACTGCTACTAACCCCATTATCTGATAATCTGCCAGAGCAAAATTCCATAAAGGAAAGGGCTCAGTATATCCAGTAGTGATTACTCTAAAAATGTTTTAAGCTATTAGGCTACCATATACATCTATGATATACAGTATAAAACCTTAAAAGGACCAATGCCTTTTTTGTGATAAGGCTGCTGAGGCTCTTTTAAGTATCCACACTTAACTTCAACAGCTGTTCCTAAACTCAATGAATTCCCCTGACACCACCCTCTGCCCCTTCACACATTGCATCAGAGATTCAACACTTTTTTTTTATAAAGTTAGTTTATACAGCCTGGTCATCAACAGGCCAGAAAATGAATCCAATTTTTCATTCTGTCTGTATAAATATTTCAGTGCTGATGGTGCTGATTTGTCTACAGTCTTTACTTAATCAAAAGGACTTGCAAGTGAAAAGTGAAAAAAGAGAAGATGATAAAATTAGGGATTTGAAGAAGCTGGATTTTTTTTCAAGGTAGGGAGAAAAAAGGGAGAATGTGTCCGAAATACATTGGATAAATTCAGCTGCGACTTTGCTCGGGAGCTGAAACATTTACTCCACTCTTCTCCTGACAGCTTCTCATAAAATATCTGCACTCCATCTATCTTTTAGTGTGCACGAGCTCCTCTGGAGACCTGAAAATAGTAGTTTAAAGCTCACTTCAGTGCCAGTCTGTAGGAGATTGCTTTCCTCTGGACACCTGCTGATGGAGGCCTAGGGGAAACGGCCCAGGAGTTATTCAATCAGCCCCAGACTCCAGGGCAGCCAGGGGGTCCTTTGAGGGATGATTAGAAAGAAGCCCTCCTATTGTCCATCTCGCAACACAGGAGGAATTAGCAGGCCCCTTGCCGGTTAGAGTTCACGGAAAGGAATTTCACCTGTCACAGAGTTTGTCAGGATTTCAGAATTCAGAATCTCAGCGCCAAATTAATAAAATATCATTCCTGCCTCTCAGCCTGGCCTGGCAACTTCCCCAGCTTGAAGCTGATCTTTCACCTCTAAGATTACAAAAAAGCTACTAACAAAAAAACAGAACAAAAACAAAACAAGACGCTTGGCTGCAGCGCACTCAGCTTCCCTGACTCCCTTCGTTACAGCCCGCCTGCCGGTATTTTGAAAACCGCAGATGCATTTCACGAACCTGAGAAAACCAAAAGATCTGAAACCCGGCAGTGACCTGACCTGCTTGTGCAGTTCTTCTAGCTGTGTAAGCTACAGATGCCAATGTCTTTCAGTCATTAACCTATTTGAACCAAAATTTAATCTGAAATGACATTAATATCCACAAGTCAATAATCAAAGGAGAAACTCTAGTTCAGCACAAATGTCTGTGAACATGTTGCATGTTTTGTTTATACATGTTAATGGAAGTGCCGCGAGGCTTCATAATTTAACATGCTTATAAAACAAGAAAGCTTGGTATTAGCTCGGAAACAGCAGAAATCCCAACATTACTGACAGCTGTTGCAAGAGAATGCAAGAAAACATGACAGTCAGTCTTCAGTTAAGTACTGTATGTCCACAGGAAGCAAACCAAGACTAATCCACAGATAGCACACAATCATTGTTTTTCCCCAATGACCTTGAGCTTGTACTCCATCCACAAACCATAGTGGAAAAGTCATATATCCTTCATGCCTACTCAAATCTTTGCTTCTTCAAGTCAAGAATGTACTAACAATAACAGCACCAGGGTATTGAGATATACACCTATATATATGAGGGACGACATGTAAGACACTCAGTATAAAACACTGTATAGTCACATAAAAACAAAAATGTAATTTACTGAATTTTAATTAATATCACACCTGGTTAGCATCTACATGAATCATGGTTTGTAAATCATACATAGCATATAATTCAACATGTCTCTCCTCTCTTAATGTATGCAAAGCTTTTTATCTTGGTTGTATTTCTATTAATATATATTATCAAACACAATTTTTTACAATTACTATTGCAGATTATAATTTTGTTGTAGAAATTAGTGTAATATAATTACTGTAACTGCTCACTCCTAGGATATCTAGGAGGCAACTGCAAAGAAGCCATAACACACTGAATACATTTTCATACGGCAGATCTGAAGAGGGAGCTGTGATTCTCCATTTTCCTTTTTTAATGTCAAAAATGTGTTTAAAATATAGTTAAGGTACAGCTAATTACCATTAGGAAAGTGGAACTTCATGAGTTTAACAACCTGCAAGTTAGAAAAAGAGCTTACATACATTCTTACATGTTTCAACTGTCTATCCTCTTAATTACTTGGACCATAACTCCTCTTCAAGAGAACAAACTTACAAGAAACACACAAAATGCTAAGAAGGCAGAGAACAATTGTAAAAAGCTTTAAAAAAATAAGTGGAGGGCTAGGGTTGAGGTTGAGATCCCTTGAAACAGCAAAACACAGATAACTAAAAGACATTATATTCTATGTAAGTATTAAACCTAGCAGGGCAAATATCTGGAGCATTTTTATGTCAATATTTTTCGTGTGATGATTGTATTCAGGCTGTAATGTCAAATCATTCTCAGTTTTTAAGAGCACACTGAATCCACAGTAGACAAGGATCGCAGGGCACAGAAGCACAGGCTTAGTATACTACTGTATACTAGTGTACCAATAGTAAGACACTACTTGTCTTAGTGCTTAGAGGAAAATTAGTGTTAACCTAAATTCTAAAATATCCAATTTAATCATTTAATACTAGACTTAAATCATGTATTGCTAAATTCAAATCTATAAAAAAAAGTTCAGGTGATAAAGCATGCCTGCTTCACTTTCTCCTTTGCCTCTACTTTCTCCTTCACAGTAATAATTACTGTACCTTACACCCAATTCATAGGCTATTCCTCCTATCAAAGGAAAATAAAAGTAAAGGAACTGGAATTGATTAGCTGTGAAATGCAATGTTTCATAAACACTGCCTTTCACCAAGTGTTTATGCTCCAGTTTAAAAGGCAACATTCTCCTATATAGATTCTTCAGCTCAGTAAATACTGTAAATGCTGCAGTGTGAACAGCCCTTTACTTAAAAGTCACATAAGTAATTCTTAAGTATGTGTTTTTTAAAAAAACAGCTCAGTGATCACTTCAGCCTGAATATTTTGGAATAGGAAACATGCTAATTGTTTGGATTTTATTTAAATGCATCCAGGAAATTGGGACTAGAAAAAAAGAAGAAAAACTCCGATACATTTTGAAGAGTGTCCAGAAAATGTGTTTACTTGGGAACGTTTCTCAGTATCATTGATTAAAAAGTTCCTCTTGAATTATAAAGCAATACCAATCCCTGATGCAGCTGTCATTTTCTTTATCAATTGCACTTGCATTTGGACTTACCCAGCAAAAATTTGTTTGGGGATTCAGATATGGAGGCTCTGGTCAGGCTCACCTGTTCTGTGTGCAGCTGCTTTAAAAATGCACCACATTTCCATTGGATCATAACAAGCAAAGGCAGCCTGAGTCTCTTTGGGGGAAATCAACAGTTGTGTTGAAAGCAGATCCAAACTCACACCTGACTTCCCTAACAGATGGTGTGGCCCTACAGATGTTGCTTCCGTGTTTCATGAGTACTGTAGTTTAGAAAGTGCTCCACTAGACTGAGATTTAGTCCTATACTGTGTGCATTTAGCATACTCCTGAAACAGGTGGAGTCATTATTGTCAACAGCAATCTTATATACACAGCTGCTACTTGCCGCACAGGAGACACAAAGCAGCACAACACCTACCTGTAGCTCTGTCTGGAAGAAGAACTTCTGAGGACAATGGGAACAATCATAGATTTTGTCCTCTTGCCCGTGAGCTGAGAAGATATGTTGCTGTAACTTGCTCGCTTGCACAAAAACTGCAATGGCATGAAAAAAAAAGAGAAACTTTTATTGGATTATCCTTGTGAATCAAAAAAGGTCACAGATAAGGAAACCGATTTTCCTGCTGCTATAAATCAATATTATTCAGCCATTAAGATTCAGTTGCCACTGATAGTTTCTAATATTTTTAACCTTTCTGTTACTCTCTCTCTCGAGCTTATTTCAGATCTGTACCAAGTGGCGAAAGTGTTAGAATGGTTTGTCTGTTTTGCTGCAAATGCAATGCTGCTTTTTTACAGCAGAATAAAGCGTATTCAATTGCAGTTGTATGAAGGAATAAGTCTGGAAACAATCTTTACAAATAATATACAGAAATATTATGCTACTGGTCCTTACTAGACAGGTTTGTACAGTATGTTTCTATGTACTACAAATGTTACATTTGTTTCAGTTGAAATATAAAGAATATACTTTTTAACATTGCATAAAATGGAAGATTTTCTGGGAAAATGTAAGAACTGCATTTATATCAGTTTAATTTTAGATTTTAAGATAAATAATATTAATTGAACAATACAAATATCACTATATGATTACCATCCAGCTGTATGAGATATAGTATCAATATAGTATTCATAAAATAATTATTTAGTTTTTTAACCAAAGGTATTGCAAGGTTTTTCCTCAATGGAGTCCTTACAAAAAAGGCTCCCCAAAAGCAGCAGGGTGTTTAATAAGAGCATATGTATTGAAGTCCTTCGTTTAAAGTGGATTTCTTTCCGATAGCAGGGAATATATACATGTGCGTGTGAAGATCAGAGGACTGAATCACAATGGGAATTTCATGCCTTTCGAGTGAGAAGTGAATAGAAAGAAAGCTCATTTGTAGAAGCAGCATGGTAGACCTCCCCCTTCGGTTTAAACTCCTGAAAACGCTTCTAAGACAAGTTACACGTGTATTTAACAAAACAAGGCAAAAACGGGAATAAGTCTTCAAACAATAACTCATAAGTCAGCCCTAATTAAACTCAGTAGTTCATTTACAGTCATTGCTTTCACTACTTTCACTACTATACATATCGCTGGAGGAAATAATATCAGTGCTTAATTTAACTACATAAAAAATCACACACACACAAATGTCATCACTTCAAGCTCCAATACTGGCATCGTTAATCTACATTACTAATTATAAGATTTTACAGTATAAATATTCATGTAGACTGACAACTCATTTATGTGGACCCATAGTGAAACGACTGTAAAACAAACACTGATAGCTAGCGGGAGAAAAAAAAATATCACTGGTTTAATTAAGCAATAGCCCATACTGGTAAACTTGAGAAAGTTCGTGTGTATTCTCAAAGGAGCACTTCAAACATGCTGTTTGTTATCTGAGACCCATAAACCCATATGCTTTAAGGACTGCTATTTAAAACATCAAGTCTCAGAGGCCTTGGTACTTTGGTAAAGTTAGTATTTATGGCTTCATTTAAATTTCTTATTACTCAAAACTTTTCCCCATGGCTACATTGGGGCATAGTATATGGGATAAAAGAAACTGAAGGTAGAGTCTCTTTGGGTGCCTTTAGATCAGCACAGCTTATGTACTCAATGCAAGAGCTTCAATAATATAAACATGTTCCAATTTTAATGACTACAAAACAAGGCCCTAAGACGGTGTAACGGTTTACCTGGGAGACATGCTATTAATAATTAAATTGTATATGCCAGAGGCAGAGTTAGGGTTGGCAGAAAAGGCTTCTGATGGTTCGCCTGGTGCACTATGACCTGAAAAAAACTTTATATCTACAATATTAATCTGTAGGGCACATGCAAACTGATTACGTCTCGGAGGCATAGAATATGTGACAAATAACTAATGAATTAAACCAACAAGCTAAACCTGGAACTTAGCATAAAAGCTGTAGAATTAAGAAAGAAACATTGTGTAGATTAATAGACCACACTTTATTTTATAATGTTTGAAAACCAATTAATAACTTCATAACCTAAAAAAAATAAATTTCCTATAAAAAATGAATGCCAAACAGCCAGCTTGCTTAGCTGTTTCTACAAATATTTTTTTATTTAGCAAAAGTGATTAAGCATAGTTCACCGAGATCAATATCAAGACTTCCACACAGAGACAATGATCGTGTTCATCACGATTATCTTAGTTAAAAAATAAACACATTTACCTAATCTGAAGAGGGAAGAGGGAATTTGGATATGTATTCTAATTACATAGCTAGAGAGTAATCTTAGACTGATAAAGAGAACCAGTATTTAGGCTCTCTTAGCTTCTTGGACTAAATTAAGCACCTTTAGTGCAATAAACTTCACAATGGTTTATGGCGGCAACATGTTCTTTACATTATTAATATTTATATATTCTATGTAGAATAATAGTTCCATTTCTATCACTTCTGGATGGCTGAGAGGAGTGAGAGTTATCACAGAGGACATCAAGTCCGCCCCTTTTCCTTGGCTTACTGTGAAACTAAAGAAAGTATTTCATCATTCGCTTCCTTGTGACAGTTTAATCAGAACCAAGAGCAACCAGACTAGATATAATAGAAAATAAAAAAATGGTAAAACTTGTAAAGAACATAAGAACGTTTGCAGATTAGTTTCTATTTGTATCAACCGCAATTTAAATTAAGAATGTGACAATTCCAAAACACAAAACAGCTAACAATGCTTGACAGAGAAAGCTAAAAAGGAGGGAGGTCTCTGTAAACCTTTACTACTGTAGATATGCCCAGACACTTGGCCACATGTATGGCCCCTTCTGTTGCTTTTGTTGCGCTTGCAACATCAAATTATCATTTAGATTTAAAGGGCTTTAAATCCTTCTCTATCAGGCACACAATATTATCTAATAATGAATTAAAGAACATAATTTAAGGTCATTTAAAAAACACACACAAAAGTCTAAAAAACAGTCATTAATTAAGTAATAGTGATAAAATAAAGATACAAGTGGGCTATGAACTGCTACAGTTTCAGTTATCAAAGATACAATATTATATATTGACCTTTTTAGTGATAACTGTGATGCAATTAATTTCCCCAAGTTCCTCCAAAGAGCTTCAGTGACGTTTATACAGTTTATGAAACTTGACCTTAAGTTTGTGAACAGCTGGACATCAGCTAAAAAATAGCTCAATACTGAAAGAGTACACCTTTTTCATTAGGTGAAACTGCTTAGTCATTTTAGGACTTCATTTTTTTCAGTTTTCTTTGCATGCAGATTGAAGAACCAACTGCCACATTGCAAAAATGACACATCTCCTTAACAATAAAAAAAAGCAATTAGAGAGCATCTTTACTGGCATAAAATGCAAATTGGACCTTTTGATATATAAAGTCAAGAAGCAGACTTATCTAAAATCAGTATGCCATAGTTCACCATTGATCCCAAGTCAATGTTCTAAGCTTTTTGCATCAATGCTTTAACATAAATTCAGTTCTGCATTCCTGCCAAACACAATAACTTTCTAAGGGGATTATCTTAAATTAAACTAGCTCCCAGTGTCCCATGTAACTGTGACATCCTTTTTTTCCCCAGTGTGTGTGAGATTCATTTAGTTTGCAAGAGCACTATTTATGATCATTGCTGCAATTACTGAAGAATTAAGTTTAAAAGTTTAAAGCAGTAATGAAGAGTTCCTGTCTTGAGCAAATGCTATGTACATTGATGAAACAAATTATAAGATTATAAATGTTTTTGAAGAAAAGCTCAGCTTCTTTAATACAAAGAAAGAAGGCTCCACCATTGAAACATTGCATTACTCCTTTTTTTTTTTTACTTTTCAGCATAAAACTAACTTAATATGTTCCTTTCCAACGCACATGCTGACACAACTCACTACTCTGGAAATTTCTTTACTTTTATCAATAAAATGCATTTATCACAGGAAGCCCAACACACTTAAATTCTACGTTTGTAATCCTATGATGAAGTGCGGTCCCAGTCTCATGCTCCAAAAACACCTTAACGCAAACCCACCACTTGGCTGGAGGAAGGAAGGTGTCATAAATAACGGGCATCGTTAGCGATGTTAATTGTATAATCTAGAATGTCTTTGCCTTTAAAATAACACCAGTCATCTGCTGTATCAGTTCAGCCTGCTGTATCAGATCAAAATTGTTAGTTATTTTGTAAGCTTTACACTACATTTTAAATATCAAATAATTTCTATTCTGATATTTTCTGTTTATTATTTTCTTAAATCAAACGAAGTCATCCAGCTGACAGATGATTACTTCTCTGCATTAACACTATTAAAAGGGGCTCTGCACAGCCTAATTTCACTGAATTTGTTTTAAATCCCAAAGATGATCTGCGGTTCACTGATATGAAGCTTTTTTGGGTGAACCATCAGTGGGGCATTAATCTCTTTACATCACGAACTCAGAAGATGAACACCACACACAGATACATAATGTAAGACTTTTTTTAGTTCACATTAAAAGAAACAAATAGCATCCATTGTATGTTCTTTCCATGTGAGCCAAAGGCAGAATGAAAAGGTGTAATGTTTGCCTATGGAAATGGAACAGTCCACTGATAAATACCGTCTGAAGAGCTGGAAACACAGACATTTCCCCAGGCCTGTGCACCAGCTTCGTCATTTCTGTCAATTTATGTTTTATGGAAGCATTATGTACAGAGCAGTCAGCAGCATGAGAAATATTATGCATTAGTACATAAAAGAAAATCAGTTTCCACAGTATGTTTAATAAAACACGCTATTTTCCACCATTCTTTCAATTTACAGAGGAGATGCAAGAGGGCAGGAGGTTGAGAAAAGATGGAGAGTTGCCTGAACTGCATGGCCCAGAATGCTCTGGGAAATAAGCTGTCGGCCTCAGTCACCTGACTTACTGAAAGAAGACAATTGGACAGATAATCATTAAAACACCCGGAAACTGAGGCTTCCAGGTTGATCAACATTAGTCCTTTGAAAAAGAAGACACGTTTTCTGCCGTGTGATATGGCCAGAGTGATTTGGCCAACTCTGCACTGCAAATAAAAGAGTAGTATTTTTGTAACTTGTAGCTGCATTTGCAATTTTGTACCTTGTAGCTCTGTTTAACCAGACTCTCCTACTGTATTTTAAAGGTCACCTCTCATGGCACTCCAGCCCCTGTGTGTGTCACAGAGAAAGTCATCCACAATGACCAATGGTCATACACAATAAACTGATCCATAAAGAAAATGCAATACATTTAGACCAATAATTGTTTGGGTACATACATGATGTTATTAATATTTTAAATAAAATACAGACAGGTTTGTTAATTAAGCAGTGCGTTTTTTTCTTCACAACACCTTGTGAAAATGTGTGGAGGCAACTTCTGGTATACACAACACCCTTGATTCAGATTGAAGGAAACCTCACTGCTGAGGAACACACTGAAAAAGTATTCGAACCAGCAGTTTTTCCATTCCTGCAAGGCAATCTGGATGTCTAAGTTTTTCGCATGACAAAACAAGACCACACAATGCTAAGTTTACAATAACACAACAAAAAACAATGTTAGAAGTCTTTCTCTTTTCTGACCTGAATCCAGCTGAACATCTGTAAGACAGCTATGACCAGTGTGCCTTTGCCAGTTGGCTCCAGTTGCACAGAAAGAGTAGACACCCCACAGCAGTCTACCCAGAGGCTGATCAGGTCTGTGCATCAATACTGCCAGAACAGTGGGGCTGATCATACCTAATACTAACATTGTTTTCAATTTCTGTAGATGGAATACTAGAATTCATACTTAATACCTATGATTTTTAATATATATAATGACATTTTTTGTTGTTTATTGATAAACTTAAACTTACTGTGATAACAGTACAATTGTATTTAAATGTTTTTCAAGAAACTCAAAGTGCTGAACAATTAGCACACACAATACACAACAGAAGCAAAAAATGTGAAACAAAAAGAGTAAAACTAAATAACACAGAGCTTTTGTGAAAAAATTGGTCTTTCAGCAAGTTATGAATATGTTGACAGTCACAGAGTCTCAAATACATTTGGGCAATGAGTTCCACAGACACAGTGCTGCACAACTGAAGTTTCATTAATATTTAATTTATATAGAAGATGCTATTAAATCTATTATGAGAGTTTTTATAGTTAATGCACTGGCTTTCTGCACAATTTAACCCATAGGACAAAAGTCTAGCCTGCTTCTTTTCTTCCTGGAAGAGCTTCACGGAATCAGACTTTCAGAAGGCCGTTTCCGCAGGCCACCCACAGAATGACAATGTTGCAAAACGACCGCAAAAAAAGTAAGGAATAAACTATTTACCAGACTCGTGACTATTTATAGGTTTTCAAAGTTTTTAAAAAAGTGCTCGGAAAGTAGTAGCTGTGTGACAAGCAGTTCAATGCTGTGACATGACTAAAAACATGCTTGGCTTTCATCGCTGACATAACTTTCTTCAGATTGTTTGTTTTTGCCTTCATATCCCCAATCCCAATTTTCAGACGATCCTTGTAGCAACTCCTGCTGGAAAAGGCAGGCTGTTATAGCTTCAGGCTCCCTTACATCTGACGCCTGTCAAGTCTTCTCTGGGTATGGCAGTCACTCTGTCATTTTCCAAGGGGCTTTTGCTCATCTCATCACCTAGCAGAGTGTCTGGCATGGCTAGGGCCATGAATTTGGAGCACTGTGATTCTGTGAATTAATTTAAAAACCTAGCCAGCATTATCCTGATGCAACACAGGGACATAGATGGGTCTAGATACAGAATTCACCAGCTCTCTAGCAGTCAGCAAGTAACTCCTTAATGCTGAAGACTGACAGACAGTTTCATACACCTCTTGTGATCCTGGGACCAGCTGTATAAAACATTGAAAAGCTTGCAAAATAACATTGCATTTCTTGTATTTTTTAATACTTATGAGATCCCAACATGCAAATTATTTTTATAGCTAAATAACATGCTTTATATGCTATTTAAAAACTTCATAAAAATATGATGTTTTTTGCTAAGTGCTTGTACAAATAACAAATAAGATATACCATAATGAATTTAGGGATTGGATTTATTTTTAGGATTTAGGATTTTAATTATTTTAATTGCTAAACAACCAATTTATGGTTTAAAAGCCTGACAATTGATTTAATACAAATGAGGCAATTTTACAATATTAAAATATTTCTTCAAAGCCAATACATTCACTTTCAAAATTGATAGCATAACATGTCCACTATGAAATTAATGAATGCTACCTGAAAAACGTGGCAATTTCCCTTTAGTTAAATACTCCCAAATATCAGTGACTAAAAGTCCTATAGGTTTCATTAAACAGATTTACAACCTGCAAAGCTTTTCTTCAAACTCAATTTCACATTATGGATGGCTTGGACTCACGGGCACCGGTTTTCTACCCAGAGCACAGTGCATAGCTGGGCCACACACAAGCATGCCCCACTCCAGAGAGCTGCTCCCAGTACAAGCAAGCCTTTAATTCCTGTGACTGCGAAGAGCAGCCCTGCCTGCCGGTGCAGCTCCGCAGTGGCTGTCCTGGAGGTGCACCCCAGAGGCCAGCCTCTCACTTCAGCCTGATCGATGAGAGCACAGGGGACGTGCCCATCAAATCAGCCTCCGGAAAATTAACACCCCGATGAAAAAACACGCTTTGTATATTAAACTCTTCTGGCAGGATGTGGTGGTGGTGGTTGGGGGGGGGGGGGAGAGAAAGAAAAATATCAATAAAACGCTAAACAGGAGCTGCAGTCCAACAGCAGTGGGAGGGAGTTCCAATTTATAGCTTATGGAATGGCGTACTTGTCTGACAATGCCAAGAAAATAAATCAGAAGAGTATGAAGTCACTCACAAGCTGCTGAAGACGAGGAGGGAGTGCTGCAGCGAACGCCTGTGTCTCTGACTTCTCCTGACCAAGCCTGCCCACTTAGAACGAGCACCATGCTTAGGACAGTTATGTGGGCTTAACTCTGTGGCGCATACAGTCGCATTGTTCCACCCCTCATGCACACCAAGTGAAAAACAGAAAACAGACAAACAAAATACCACTGCCGTGTCCTGGGCTCTTTACTGCCTCTACTTTCAGGGGGGGTAGGGGTTAGGAGGCAGAGGTACAGAGCACTATTAACTTTAGTTGAACCTGTAATTTCCTTGGAACGATTGAGGCTTATTGTGCTCATTGCTGTTGTCTATTCATTCAGCAAAAAATAACCATCATCTTTCAACATCAGCTCCTTATGATGCAAATGGAGGTTTCCTACGAGGGAGCAGGAGGGAGCCAGGCTCCTGCTGTCTGAGGTAAGTCACCTCAACCATCCTGTAATGCTTCCTTTCTCACCTCATTATGCCTGCCTGCTGCCTCCCTTTGTTAAACATTATAGGCCTCTCTGCCCTCGGTATTTGACTTTAAAAATGGATTATTCAATCTACGGGAGCAGGCTAACATGGGGGGCGCTCTCCAGTATGTGTACGTGAGCGTGTTTCAGTGCCACCTGCCTTGGGGTGCCTCCACTGCTCCCTGCTACTTTAAGAGCCGTTCCCTCCTTCCCGTGTCATTTGAGAATTAGAAACTACGGTAGATCTCTAGGAATAACACCACTGGGATACCTGCATCTTAAATTTTTTTTAGATTATTAGTCCAATTGTGTTATAATTTGGCTATAAAAAATCCCAAGTGTGTATGTTTGATAAAACAAACAATTAATTGAAATTGTAAGATAATTTTAATGTAATTATTTTAATGTAATAATATTTTATACTATATACTACAGTATTTGCTATACTGTTTAAAATAAATACTCCTGTGCTATATTGTTTAATGTCTAAACTCACATGTCTAAAACACCTTTTTAAATGTAAAATGTACCCAGCACTCATTTAAAAACTGCAACTATAAAGTTGCATAGTTGCACTATAAAACTAAAAACTATAAGCTTGTCAAGACTGATGGGATAGAAGGAGCGAAGTACTGGGATATCTTAGAAGACAACCTGCTTCACTCTTTTAATAACCTGAAACTGGGATGATGAAAATGTAGCTTTCAGCAGGACAGTGATCCAAAGCACAACACCACCGCGATTGTGCTTGAGTGGCATAGTAAAAGACCCATCTTGAATCTTTTTGAGAATCTGATTTGAAAACTGCAGTCCATAAGTGATTGCTAAGCAGCTTGAGAGAGCTTGACCAAATCTGACAAGATGAATTGCCCGAAGTCAGTGTGCAGAGTTGGTAAAGACTTACACAAACTGACTTTCAGAATAGCATCCTTCCTCCAAATACTAATTTGGTCTGAATACTTATTAAATCAATTTGTTTTAGTGTTTCTCTTAAGTTTTTTTCTGACATTTACTGTGTTTTCTCACCCTTTTCAGTTTCAACATTTGGGCTTTGAATAAAATATTAAGTTTAAAAAAATGTATATGTGTAATTTCAGAATTTAACAAAATTAATCTCCATTGGAGGGGTCTGAAAACTCTACAAGACATTGCAACTGTGTTGAGACTCAACTGCGACATTGTTTTAAAGCAATACTTGACCAATTCACAATCCTTGTAATTTTGTTTCCAGTAGTATTTTCTTCCTTCTTCATCTACGACATTCACAACTTCTACTATTTCCTAATACATCCATTTCAAACCTTGCCTCCTCACCATTATCCTTGTCTACCAATATTCCCTTTTTATAAAACTTGTACTTAAATCTAAACATTTGAAGACCAGAAATAATGAATCACACTTTAGAAGAGGTTGAAGATTCGGTGTCAAACATTTTGAGTTCTGACTCTATAGAAAAAAAAAAAGCTAATATGCAGATTATTTTCAGAATAATAAAACAGCTCTGAGGTGACCATTAATCAATACTATCCTGTTCTGTCAAAGTGCACTAAGGAAAAGAGGGAGCAGACATCAGGTCTGCATTATGGGACTGCACTTGTCTTGTAAAAGAATACCCAAGAAGGACTTTGAATCCATATCAGCAAATGCCTACATATGTGTACAACTAAAAAAATAAGGTGGATCCACATGAAAAAATATTGGAAATAAATAACAAAGATTATAATCTTAAGTGTTGGAAAGACTGAAAAGCAGATATTGCAGAAAACTGAGTAAGTGTACGAATATACACGTACTACAGTACAGTATATGCAGTGAGTGAGGGATATTCAGTCCTTGTCATGGAAAGCCTCAGTCCGTCATGTTTTACAGGCAACTTATTGTCCTCAATGAACAGATACCCAGAAACAGTGATAATATAGATTCAAATAAAGTCATTAAGAGTCCAGGGTGGAATGAAAACCAAAGGACACAGGAGCCCACAAGGACCTGGAGTGATGACCAGTGCATTAGTCATCGAGGCTGAAGTCTGAAGTCAACTGGCATTTTAATGAAAATGATACAGGAAAGACACCATCATGTGTAAATTAAAGTTAGTGAAGAAAATTAACAAAATATAAGAAGAAAAAACAGAACTTTGTGCCTACAACAGGTCACATGAGCACAAATCTTGAACATTTCAGTAAGACATTAAGATGAAAGGAAGCAGGTTTGTTCTCTACGTACCTGTGAAACAGACCGGGCACTTGAAGGTTCCACCCATCCCTTCGAAGCTGTGCTCGATCAGGTGGCACTGCAGCTTGGCCGGCGAGTCAAAGGTCTGGCTGCAGAGCTTGCATTCGTGGTTCAGGCCCTCCTCTGCAAGGAAAACACTTGCTTAGACTGTATGCAGCTTCTGGGAAAAGAAGCAGCTTCTGGTAAACATGCTCAAACTCAAAACAAGGTGCCGCAATTTGAATCTTCATGCTATGAATTGTTGGTCTTTCAGTATTTACTCCCAATGAATGGATTGGAACATGTAGATACGGTAACTTGTTATTGCCCTGCCCTGCTGGAACAAGCCTCATTCTCATGTGGTTTGCAATGATGCTAACTGAACACAATTCCTACTATATCACAAAAGCTGACCGACTGGTTGAAAACTTAAAATGAAAAAATGAAGAATTAATAAACATGAATTAAAGAAGCTGGGAAAGATGGCTTTCTGGTTCCTGAGCAAGAAAGCTATAAAATTACTTTATTTCCAGAGTATGTACCGTACCTTCCCAGGGGGATTGGGAACAAGGTAAATTGTTGTTTCCTAATACAGAATATACTTTTATTTTGCAGATTGATTATCATGCAGTATACAGTCCTGGAGTCTATGTGTCAGACATTTACCATTTTCTCCTCTCTGCAGATTTTTGATGTTGGCAGGTATGGCTGTAATTGACAGCCTGTAAGTTAACTGCAGTGCATCAGCTGATTGGCCTTAGTCGTGCTCTTCATCAAAATACAAAGTAGGCCGATGTCATTATTCTAATTTGTTTAAATAAAAACACACATATCAAAATGCGTATGTTGCATGTGGGACTTCTATTTTTTAAAGTGTGCCTCTGTATGTAACACAAAGTTTTTGATAACTGCAAATGAACAGAAACTAGACAAAATGTACACAAAGTCCTATGTATCACATACTACAGTGAACCGTTTGGGAGTCTAAACGCAAATAACAAGATTTGAAATTACACTGAAGACAATTTAAAGAAGAATGAGGTTTCTTCACTCAGAACATCAGGATTCTAGGATTGTATTTCCATAAGTCACCAACAACATCAGAGAAATCTTAAGCCAAACCCACATAGCACTATCCATCCTAGACTGGTTATTAGCATTCGAGCGAGTGGACATAACATCTGTAAATTTTGATCCATAAGCCCTCTGCCTCACAGCAAAAGGGGACTGAGAGGAAAGAAAAAAATATGAAGAAGTGGAAGTTGACAACTCTATTGATTACAATATGTATAATGGTTATACTTGGCATGTCCATCAGTGCCAAGGCATCAAAGCCTAATCAAGCAGCAGCAGAGTTTTTTTCCTCAGTAACCTTCTTTCTTACTTAGTGTGCTGGTTTACTAACAAGCTCTGTCAAGCTGTCAGGAGAAAAGTATAACAAAAGATAAAGATTCTCTTAAACAGTGTCAACAGTAAGTAACTTCCACGCAGAAATCCAACAAGGAGAAAGAGAACACAAAACTTTTCCCTAACAAAGGGCTTATTTAATGTAATGATTTATGTTGCAATCTGTTTTGGGGAACTCGGAATCTGGGTCTCAAAGGACAAGAGTGTCTCTGTGTGTTTTTAATATATTTATTAAGAGAGGGTATGTGAAATACTGACATTTATTCCATAAATAACAGTGGAACTACACATTTCCTCCTAGTATACAGTAGCTGCACAACTTGGAAATATCAGCCTTAGCATGATCCTGCATGACATACAAAGCCTAACTGGTGTTTTGTCACATTGCACTATCATTGTCAAAATAACACATTTTCACAATCCGTACAGAAAAGAGGGACTCAAAATCCTATAGATTTGCTCTCACCCACGATATGAACATGAATGTGTGTGTGTGTTTGATTGCTCAATCAGTCTCAGTGCTCTGGGGATCCTCAAATATTACTTACATCTACTATTCATTCAAAAACAAAAATCATACGCATTGCATGACAATGCCAATTCCTCAATATTTTAATTTTGGTCCACACCGAACATTGATTCTTGATGTCTGAGAAACGACTGCCATATGCGAGTTTTCTGTGCTGATGTCTTCTGTGCCACATAGTCCAAATTACCTCCCCTTCTCCCTCATGCTCTCTATCTCCCCCAGTGTTTTGCCCCACTGTGACAGACTCCTGCTATGCCCCTGCTGGCATTTCTGCAAACAATCCTTAATTTATCAAGCTTGGCAGTTGGCAGCCACAGGGTGAGACTAGAGGGTGGATTGTCTCACTTGCAAAGACACCCAGAGATTCACTGGCATAAGCTCTCCCTTCAAACTGATGAAAACAGAAGTACTAGGCCTTCAGCTTGCCTGGGGTTTCTGGCAAAAAAATGAAGGAAAAAAAAATAAAAGGCCGACCCAGAGCATCACTTTTGATCTACTGCCTATGGCAAGCGAAAACTTGGAAATGACGTTTGTAGCTTTAAAAATCCCTTGGTATTAAAACTGCCCTGCAATGTGCTCAACAAGAGCAGAGTTTGGGACCCCAGAGGTTCCAAAGGTCATGAAAGCAACATAAATTAGCTGTCAATAATTTAATGAGTGAGAATGGTTACCTAGGCCTTTTTCTTAATTTTAATTGCTGTCTTCAGCAAAATTATAAAATATTTGTAAGGCTACAGCACTGTATTATAATGATGCTTTGGGCGTGTTTAATTTTTAATACCTGTGCTTCACTAGTCTGTCTAGTCCAGCAAAAAAAAACAAGTTCATTCAAACTAATATGAAAAATTTAAATATAATACAGTTCAGATGCTTTATAGATAAATTATAGAAGAAAGATTACGGGAGAAAATGACTAGTACTTGGAAAAGCTAGGTCTATTCTAGCCACAGAAGTCTTCTTTCTGCAAAACACATGGGCTCTTGTTTCGCATGTTAACTTAGTGCTTCTGTCAGAAATCACACAGACTGCAGTTAATGCCTCCTTGACAGTACAGTGCAGACCGTGTATTACATACTTGTCAAAGATGAAAAAACAAATATGCTGGATATGGAGTAGCCACATTGCTTCACCCTTTTATCTTTTTCCCCAGTTTTTAACAAGACATATTGGAGAAATGACACTGAATACTAATAGCTGTGAAAACACGGGCTGAGCACTTACAAGACATTTTTTTTTTAAATGAGCATTGACAAACTAGTGTCTAGGATTCAGTCTGGTGCTTTCATAGTACAGCAATCTACGGGATGGTGTGATCTTTTCACATCAGGCATAAACTGGGTAGCTGTTTGGATAACAAAGGTTTCTAACGCTTGAGAGCTGTTCTATACTACTGCTATATAAAACCATACTGGCAGGATAATTACAGTCCCACAACACTAGCACTGCTCTGAAAGGAGTCATACTCATCACTTTTAAAAAGGTAAACCTGGTTTAGTCTAAAACACACAGGAGACAATGGCCAGAACTTTAAAAAACAAATTCAGATTTCTAGCTTTATTAATCAATTTGATTCAGATACTACACCATCTTTGTGAGAAAAGCAAGGGCCAATAAGTATCAGTAAAGCTGAACCTACACTGCCTCAGTATTTCTTTACGTAGCTGGCAACCTCCAACCGTTCTGTCTTCAAAGTTCACTCTGTTCCACTGTTTTTTCACCAATAACATAACGCTCCTCAGCCTTTCTCCACTGTCTTCTGTTGTCAGAAATGTACTGTAGCCCGGACATTGACGAGACCATGTGACAAAACAAAACATTCAATTAATTTACAACATACTATGAAATTATCTTTGGATTCCACTCTATTACTGACATCATCTGCCTCGTCCGTGACGACAGTGGGTCAAGCACAGGGTTCTGAGTCACTGCTCACGGAAACTAGTGGCAACAGCATCTTTGCAGCATCCTATAGTTTATGGAGTGTAGTGAGCTGTTGGGACTGTATAACGAAAAAGGAAATATCTTAACTGTATGATAAAGCCAATTTGTGCGTTTGTAAGCTACAAGTAACATACCTGTACATAGACCCAAATAAAAGACCTGCAGCATTAGAAAACGAAGCACTCACTGCGACCGGTGTGAGACAGGAGTGCAGACCAGTGCAGCCACCTCAAGAACAGGTTTTGAAGAGAGCTGTATCGTATTTACAAATATTTTCACCCAATTGAACAGCCACTTCTGTTCTATCAACCCCCAACATGATTGATTTTTTCATCACTATTTACGTGATAATGTAGTAAGTATAGTATTGTATATACTAAAGTAAGTATATTAAATTATGAGACTTAGCCTTGAATGAAACACCAATTTCAGGCAAACCCAACTAAAATACTGTATGCTGCTTTTGGAACAACAAAGCTTTATTGTTCAGTCACTTTTTAAATGTCTTGATTTAGAAAAGCATTCAATCATGAAAGTGATACAAAGCCAAAGGTGTTGCGCAGTGTTATCCTGAACATAGTTACAAACATGAAGTGGAGTTGAAAACGACTGGGATAATTTTATCACAGCGTATTATAGCTCCTGACATTCTTCGAACAACTGAATTACCCTTCACCATGCCTCAGTAACATACCCACTGTACTTGAGATCTACTCTGTAATGCTGACTATGAGGAACAGTTTTTGTATGCTTGGAAGAGTTAGACAACCAGAGTGTCCAACTTACACGAGCTGCCACCGTTCTATGCACTGGTCAACAAAAGGTACCAAGAGTCTGATGTTTCCTCAACTTCCAAAACAGAACACAAATTAGTAGAATATTAAGTTAATACTGATCGGGCAGTTTAGTGGCTCTGTGGCTAAAGATCTGTGACTGTGGGAGGAAGGTTGCTGGTTCAAATCCGGCGGCCGGCAGAGGAATCCTACTCTGTTGGGCCCTTGAGCAAGGCCCTTAACCCCAACTGCTCCAGAGGTGCCATATAAATGGCTGATGCTGTGCTCTGATCCCAAGCTTCTCTTCCTGTCTGTGTGTCTCATGGAGAGCAAGTTGGGGTAGGTGAAAAGACACATTCCTTATACAGAAATTGTATATGGCCAATAAAGTGATCTTATCTCAAAACATTAACATTGAAAAATGGACTGCTTAAATCAGCTGCCCTTTTTTGCAAAGGATTTTGATATTTCTGCAGAGCCTTCTTCAATTACAT